CCTTCTCCTTGCTTCCCTGTGTGACTTCCCCTCCTTCCCTCCCCATGCGTTCTGCCTTCCATCCTCGACTCTGTGAAGCTACAAAAACCCAGCTAACCCCATATTCTCTTCCTTTTGTCACCCATTGAATATTTGTCCAGTACTTACTTTCTGCCAAGTGCTTTTACCAGAAATCCTACACACTTACCTTTTCTGGCAGAAAGGAAGGGGGCAGACAGATGAATTAGGCTTATAAATTCATAGAATTAGCAAGATTTTTCTTAATTTGATGTAAATGAGTCCAGTTAAGTAGGCACAACACACTCCAAAGTATGAGATCCCATTCTTGGGGATGCAGACTCTCAAAGCCAGGCATTCCTTATGGCCAATGGGACAGCCTTCCTGCTCTGATCTAAGCTCACCTCTGTTAGCCTCTGTGAACTGCACAACAGAACCATTCGCTCAACTTGCCATTATTTGTTAACCACTGCAAAAGGACACTTCCTAACAGCTTAGTCATTATCATTGGTATAATAATACAGCCAGTGAGAGCCAGGTTTACTAATGGCTGTGTGTCATCCTCTTCTCTCACTCTCTTCTATTGTATCTAAAGGTGCCAAGTCTGGCCTTCAGTTGCAGTTGACAATTATCTGCAATAAATAATCAAAATGTCCAAAGTCCTGGAAGCAGAGCAAAGCTTGGCATACTTAAGAAACTGAAGTTTCAGGAGAATTTATAGAACATGTCCGGAAGGTGATGGGGAGGTGATGCTAAGCTGAGAAGGAAGAAGATGTGCCTGGAATGATGACCAAAAGAGCCAGGTGAAGTAGGTTCAGTTTGGGTTTTAATCTAAAGACAATGGAAATCACTGCAAGGTTATAAGCAAGAAGGGCGATATGTGTTTTGTTTGTTGTTTTTTCTTTTTTGGTTTTGTTGAAAAATGTGGCGGTGCAGTGAATAAATTGATAGAAAGCAAAGCAATGCATAAAAGAATAGGTGAAAGAGTAAATGGATGGATGAACGAAGCCAAGACGTGGAGATCAGTTAGGAGACTATTGCAATGGTCTAGCAAGAGATAATGGTATCCTGGCCAAGGATAGTAGCAGTGAGGTTGGAGGTGAGTTGGTGTATTAGAGTAATAGTTTGGATGCAGAATCCATAGGACTTGGTGATTGGTGATGTGAGGTGTTTCTGATTTGGGTAACTGGGTAGTACTGAGATAGGAACGTGGGTGAGGACCAGGTTTGAGTAGGAAAAGATAATCAGCTCACTGTTGAGACATGTTGAGTTGTAGATGCCCAAGGAACATCTGGTAAGAAAGCATTGGAGTTAGTGGAGCTCAGCAGAGTAGGGAGGGCTGGGTATGTTGTTACGAGGTCACCAGCCAAGAGAAGTTAGTTGAAGCTGTTGCGATGGGTGAAATCATCTAGGGTAGGGTGTAGAATGGGTAGGGGGGAAAAGCTTAAGAATGAAGAATTCTATCATTTAAGGGAAAGAAAGAAGAATACATAGGGAACTGAGGAAGAGCAGGTGGTGAGACAGGAGGAAATCCAAGAAAGCATGAGAGCATGGAAACCAAAGGAGGCGTGCCCTTAGGCAGGGTGGGCTACTGCGTCACCAGGTGCTGGGAGGTCTTGTAAAATAAGAACTCAGAGGAAGTTTGGGGTTATGTTAACTGTTCATCTTCATTTCTACACTCTTTAGTAAATGTGTTAAATTTTCTCTTCTTAGAGGCTTTTTATTCTTTAAAAATATTGTTTATTTAATTCCTTAATGTTCTCAATGAAGAGATGACAAATTTAAGTAAGTGTTAACATCTTCCTCAAGTATAGTACATTTTGGCCCAAGTGTCACCTTTAGCATTCAGTTGAAAATAGTAATAGATGATTCTCACTCTCCAATCTTTAGTTTGTTTTCTGTCTCTTAGCTTTGTGGGCTCTGCTTCTTAGAAGTTAGTGGACAGCAATACATTTCACCACACTGAAAGAGTAAACTATAAGCTGGAGATTTAATCATTCTCTTTCCTATTTCTTTCCCAGCTCCAGGAGACTGTGAAAAGGAAGTTGGAAGGAGCCCGATCACCACTTAATGGAGACCAGCAGAATGGTGCTTGCGATGGGAGTTTTTCTCCAACCAGCAAGCGAATACGAAAGGACATTCCCACCGGGATGGAAGCCATCAACAGTTTGCCCAACAACATGCCACTGCCTTCAGCTTCTCCTCTGCACCAACTTGACCTGAAGCCTTCTTTGCCCTTGCAAAATAGCGGGACTCACACTCCTGGGCTCCTAGAAGACCTAAGTAAGAATGGCAGACTCCCGGAGATTAAACTGCAGCCTGTTAATGGTTGTAGTGACCTGGAAGATAGCTTCGCCATCTTGCAGAACAAGGACCTCAAACAAGAACCTCTAGACGACCCTACTTGCATAGACACATCAGAAACATCTCTTTCAAATCAGAACAAGCTGTTCTCGGATATTAACCTGAATGACCAGGAGTGGCAAGAATTAATCGATGAACTGGCCAACACGGTTCCTGAGGATGACATACAGGACCTGTTCAATGAAGACTTTGAAGAGAAGAAGGAGCCAGAATTCTCGCAGCCAGCGACAGAGACCCCTCTCTCCCAGGAAAGTGTGAGCGTGAAGAGCGACCCCTCTCACTCTCCTTTTACACATATCTCCATGGGATCTCCCCAGACAAGGCCTTCTTCTTCCGGTCCTCCCTTTTCCACCGTCTCCACGGCCACCAGTTTACCTTCTGTTGCCAACACTCCTGCAGCTCCGAACCCCGCCAGCTCCCCAGCAAACTGTGCGGTCCAGTCCCCGCCAACTCCAAACCCAGCCCACACCCCGGGCCAAGCTCCACCACCTCGGCCTGGCAATGGTTATCTCCTCAATCCGGCAGCAGTGCCGGTAGCTGGCTCGGGGTCAGGCCCGGGGGCTGTGCCCAGCTCCGACATGTCTCCAGCGGAGCAGCTCAAACAGATGGCAGCGCAGCAAGAGCAGAGGGCCAAGCTCATGCAGCAGCAGCAACAGCAGCAGCAGCAGCACCCAAACCAGACTTCCAGCTGGTCCCCGTTGGGGCCTCCATCCAGTCCATACGGCGCAGCGTTCACTGCAGAAAAACCAAATAGCCCCATGATGTACCCCCAAGCCTTTAACAACCAAAACCCCATAGTGCCTCCGATGGCAAACAACCTGCAGAAGACGGCAATGAATAACTACCTCCCGCAGAATCACATGAACATGATCAATCAGCAGCCAAATAACTTGGGTACAAACTCCTTAAACAAACAGCACAACATTCTCTCTTACGGCAACACTAAGCCTTTGACCCATTTCAATGCAGACTTGAGTCAGAGAATGACGCCACCCATGGCCAATCCCAACAAAAGCCCCCTGATGCCCTACATCCAGCAGCAGCCGCAGCAGCAGCAGCAGCCACAGCTCCAGGCTCCCAGGGCGCACCTGAGTGAGGACCAGAAACGCATGCTTCTCATGAAGCAGAAAGGAGTGATGAACCAGCCCCTGGCGTACGCGGCACTGCCGTCCCACGGTCAGGTAGGTGGGAAAGTGATGCCCCCCTTGCGCCGTGCGGTTGTGCATTTCAGACTGTCCACGTGGGATGCTTTGGCACCAGCAGGGTTTAATTGCCTGTGGAAATGCGTCCTACACATCCTCATGGGGTTGTCAGGTTTGGGTTTGGGGTTTTTTTCCTTCCTTTTCTCTAAGAGATGGAAAGGTTAGCCCGATTAACTTGCCTGTAGTTGAATACCTGGGAACAAAGAAGTTTGATTCCCAGTGGCAGATAAGAAGTGAAAAATTACATAAGGTCCTCACTCTGAGGGAGGCAGTGCTGTAGCGGTCCCAGGGCCAGAGCTGGCCTCCTTATCTCCCAGGTCTTTCGGTCCTACACTCGGCCTTGAGAAGGCCAGAGCCTTTGGGGATCTCTGCAACGCTTTGATGAAGCCCTCAACAGCCTTTGCCTAGCTTTTGGAGTTGTGAATCCTGGTCATTTGGGTTCTTGATGTTCAAATCTGAGAGAGTTTACTGTATTTTCAGTGACCTGCAGGATAGATTTTTGTAGGATTTGTCACTGAACTAAGGCAATTAGAAGCTGCTTCAAGCTCGTGACTTGAGAGTGCAGTCAAACCTCGCCAGTTTATTCAGCTCTAATTCAGGGAAATTCGATGGTGCCTGTACCTTAGTATTAAAACAAACTCCTCTCTCCCACTTCCCGGCTTCCTGGTTTGGACAGCAGGGAATAGATCCATGGGAAAATGAGTGTCAGCCAATGGGGAGTGAGTACTCATTGATAAGCATTCACCCCTCATCCTGACCACTGTGGCAACAGGCAAAGTTCCTTCCATGTACCACTTCCTCTACCTTGAAGGAGAGGAGAGTGGGGAAGTGCATTGTTCTACTGCCCTTCTCCATACAGGGGTGAATTCATGAGCTGACACTGTACTGCCTACTACTGTTTTGTGCCCTATAGTCCTTGCAGGATGCCAACGTTTGCATTGCAGTTGGAGGTTTTGCAGGAAAGTCTTTGCTTTAGGGGCATGTGCATACAGGTTCTAACTAGTGCTCAGATATGTATCCACAGTTGGATGCATCAGAAGTAATGCAGGCAGCTCTTGCATCACTAGGCAACTGCTTGCATCTTCTATCTCCTGGTGTGACCCCCTCCCGCCTCATATCCACCCAGCCCCCCTGAACTTGATGGAGGCCACAGAGCTGGCAGTGGTGCTGGCCTGCAGAGACAGGCCTGAGCTCTGTGGCTTGGTTCCTGTCCTTCACAGCCTTCCAATCCCAAAACCTCACAGTGGTTTCTTGTCTGCACATGCCAGCCGGCTCTAAAGAAATTCTGTCTGGAGAAATAAAAATGTAGCTTGGTTTACGTCAACTGCAACCAGTCGAGGGTAGGAAAGCATCATTGATATGTGAACTTTTATGTATTATTTTGGTATACACACACACACACACACACACACACACACACACCATTGGAAAGGTGTGACATTTTATACCCTTCAGAATTAAGTTCTGAAGCAGGCAAAAATATAGGCAGTTCACAGGGATGTTTGTTGTAGCCCAGGCGTATCTGAGGTTTATGAGATCACAAGCTGTCAGAATGGTCTCGTCTTCATCTTAATGCAAATTCTGCCAGCTACAGTAAAATATCTCCTCCGAGCCAGACCAAAGATGATTAATTCTAATCCCCAGGCTCTGCAGACATGTGGATGCAGTGTGAGCCCATCCTCACCTCCACCACCACCACCACCCTCCCAACTGAATGTCTTTTGAAATTTGCTAACTTGGGATGAAGTTTTTGTCTTTGCTGGGACATGAATTTTAAAGGTGCTTATTTCAGGTCCTTATGCTGGCCTCACTATGAGTAACTGAGGCCGTAAGCTACAGAGCTCATGTTTGGAAAGAGCTCAGTCAGGTGAAGAAATGAAGGTGATGGTTTTCTGGACTAAATCTATGGGCTTGTCCCCTGGTCCTTCCATCTGACGAGGTGCTTTCAGGGTGGACAGGATCTGCGTTCTTGAGGCCTCATTAGAATAATCACTTCTTAACCTCATACAGAGCCATCAAGCAGGCTTTTTAATGAAATATTAACTCACCACTGTTTGAAACAAGCTTCAAAATACACATATAAACATGTGAATATCCTTCTGCAAACATACCAGTTATTTCATGCTTTTATCTGATTGTGGAGCAGTATTTACATAGCTCTCAGAATCGTTAATTTGCACTCTATGCGAGTACATGGCACAAAGACGTGCACGCATTACAGGCAAGACATAAAAGGTAATTATACATAGGTGTAGTTCAAATTTGTTTTCTGCTGTTGCTAGTGAAAATTCACTTTATTCTTTGTTGGCCACAAGAACCATGAGCAACACTTAGTTTTAATGAATGACTTGAGCACCAAAGCCACTAACACTAGAACATTGATTTCAACATAATTATCTTATAAAGACGTTTACTTATTTGGGACATTTGCAGAAAATGCAATTCCTCTCAGAAATGAACAGAAATTCACTCAGTTCCTAGACATTTCAAAAAAGATGGAACCAAAACTAGAAAGCACCCAAAAACAACTTTTTTCAAAATTGAGCAAAGATTTATGTACAAAGATTATGTGCTAAGAGTGTTAATTACAATAGTGGAAAATTGTGACCAAAATAAGAATTTTGGAAAAATAATGGACATGAAAGCCATGGTATTGGGTGATTATCATGTAGAAATGCTCATAGGAAAAGTGAAGCAGATTGATCATACAGTAGCTTGTATGTTGCAATCCAGATTGTGTTTTTCATACATATAGAAAAATACTGAATAACTAAAATATTAAGAATGGTATATTTGGTTGGCAAAATTATGAGTGATTACTGTTTTCCCTCCATAATTTACCAAGTTTTCTGTCATACATGTATGTTAATTCTACCATCAGGAAAGATAGTTTTTAAGGAAGGGAAATCCCCTATTTTAAAAAAAGCTTATACTATGCTAATTATTTTTTAAAACTTTCTTATTTTTCCAATTTACCAGTTGAAGTGAGATGGGGCCATTATTTTCCACTCGTTTACATATAGTATTAGTTATGGATCCCTGCTTTAGCAGATAGATAGTTCCAAACCCTTCTCCTCACACTCACTCTCCTTTTCTTTTCTCTCTTCACCTTCTCTCTCACTCCTATCACCTGCTCTGAATTCTTATAAAATCTCAGCTAAGATAGCGACAATGAAAGTATCAGTGAAACTGCCACCATTATGAAATTTCAGGCCTTCTCTGGGTTATGTTCTCGTATTAATTCTTTGATCATTTCTCCTTTCCCTTTATCTCGTATTGTACTTTCTGGGCTGCTCTCTAATATTTAAAATATGTGATTCTGTGATGAAATAACCATAACTTACTTTGGCCAAGTCTATCTGTTACTTTTTCCTAATTGTTTTGTTTCTCTAGAAGAGCCTCTCCTCTCTCCCTCTCCCTCCCTCCCTCCCTCCTGTTTTTACAACGTTTTGCATAGTACCTGACACTGCATCTTAAACATAAGGATGATAATAAATCATTACACGTGGTGATTATCGTTGTTCGGAACCAAAGTATGTTTGCAGTGGAGTCTCAGCTCCAGTGGAGAGAGCATTAGCACAAATAACACAGAGCTGCTTTTGAGATCAAACAGAAGAACTGGAAAGGCAAGTCTGAAAGGGATCCTTTGATAGCAGGTGGTAATCTTGAACCAGTGGAACAACAGTGAGATTGCGGGAAAGGCAAACTCGGTCTCTGTGTCTGACAAACAGAAACAGTGGAGCAACTCTGAAAGGAGGGGTCAGGCAAGTTACAGGCACCCAGAGCCCAGGAACACCTTTCACATGGAACAGTGGAAAGAGAGTCATTTCCAAGGTGTGATGTTCATGTTTAGTAGCTGCCATCAGAGGACTAGAGAAGAGGATGACTATGCTTCTGTATTAATACTTTGCATGCTGTTGGCGGTATATGACTGTGTATATCAGAATGAGTACATGTGTTCTCATGTTTTATAGAAAGTTTTTACTTTTCCATTTTATTTTACCAAAGTTTGTTGGGCACCATGTGAGGTGTCTTCATTGTAAGAGTTTTAACCATAAAATCTCCAAAAAAAAGAACAGAGCTCCAGTATTAACAGCCATCATAGGAATCCCTTTGAAGATACATTGTGCTTAACTTTAACAACTTGGAGTCCTTTTTTTTGTTTCCTTAGTGTGTGTGTGTGTGTGTGTGTGTGTGTGTGTGTGTGTGTGATTATTTTATCCAAATAAAATATGACAAATAGGCCAGAAGGCTTGTAATGAGGAGGAGCAGCTTCATCCTCTTCATTCTTTATTTCTGCTTCCCAAGGTGACCACTTCAATTCATTAAGTCATTTTCTCTCATTTATTCCATAGACTGTTGTTCTCAATATGTCAGTTATCTGAGTCTATAAAAGATGAAGCTTCAGCTCACTTACACTACCTCCTCACGAACACAACCCCCTCCACACACAGAATCTTTTTTTTCTTTGCCCCATACTCTCAATGTAGCTAGATCTATTACAAATTATGATTTCCAAAGTCTTCCATATTTACATGGAATTTTTGCATAGTGCCTCACAGTTTAGCTGTGTTGCATATGATTATATTTACCTTCTAGTATGAATTTTTGTTTTCCCTGGGATTAATAACTGCCTCTATTTTTTAATTAGTGTTATTTCTGCACTTACCCTCAATCTATCCTCAAACTTTTCTGACTCTGTAAAACTTTCAATGGGATCAAGCACATCAGATCATCTATTTTTCTTGCATTTTCTTTTCTTTTTTGTTTCTCTCCTCCCCTGTCTCCCTCTCTCTCCCCCACCACTTTTCTCTCTCTTTCTTTCTCAATCTCTCCCCCTTCTCTCTCTCTTCCCCTCCTCAGTCTCTTTCTCCCTCCCTCTCCCTTTCTCTCTTCTCCCTCTCTCTCTCTCTCTCTCTCTCTCTCTCTCTCTCTCTATATATATATATATATATATATATATCCCTCCTTCCCTCCCT